TAATCCAGGAAAGAACATTGCAAATGCTCCAAAAAAACAAATCAATTATCATGAGATTTCAAGGGGAGGGGACAGGATGTAGGATTCCAATTAGGAAATTCTGTTGAAATAGTGGCGCTAATCCAAATCCCAAAGGATTACTAATTGTGGATTCTGTTGTTCCAGGTGGACAGAAGAGTATAGGCCACAGAAGTTACCAGGCAAAGGGGAAAATATGGCTGGCAACAGTGACGGTCAAGTTTTGTGACAGTGTGATGCATATGAAGGAGAGCAGTAAGAGTGGAGATTAAAGAGATAGAGTGTGAAAACTCTGGGGTGGCTTTTGATACGTGGCTAGGGATTTGCCCTTAATTTAAGACTCATTAGAGATTTCTAGAAAACTTTCAAGTCAGAAAATTGTATGCTTGATCCCCACAACCCCACCAACATTTGTTATCGTGTGATTTCTTCATAGCAGCCATTCTTTGTGGGGTGAGGTGGAATCTCAGTGTTGTTTTCACCTGCATCTCTCGAATGACCAGTGATGTGGAACATTTTTCATATATGTACTTGCTGCTTTTACTTCTTTGTCTGAGAAATGTCTGTTCATTTCAGAAATCCCATTTTTGAATTGGGTCTTTATATTTTGCGGGGGCTGATTGTTTGGAGTTCTTTATATATTCTAGATAAGAGTCCTTTGTCTGAGGAGCAGCTGGTAAAATTTTTTTACCCACATTGTAGGTTGTCTCTTAGTTTTGTTGATGGTTGCTTTTGCAGTGCAGAAGCTTCTTAATAAGATAAGATCCCAGTTGTTGATTCTTTGTGCTAGTTCCCATGCCACTGAGGATTTTTTTCATAAAGTCTTCCTATGCCAATGTCTTCAAGAGTTCTGCCTAACTTATCTTCCAGCAAATTTAGTGACCTTTTAAAATATTTAGATCTTTAATCCATTTAGATTTTAGTTTAGTCTCCATTGTTGGTGGGAGTGCAGACTGGCACAACCACTATGGAAATCAATATGGAGATACCTCAAAGAGCTGGGAGTAGAGGTTCCATTTGACCCAGCCATCCCTCTGCTGGGTATGTTTCCAAGGGAATTAAAGGAATCATACCACAGTGATATATGCACACCAGTGTTTATAGTGGCACAGTTTGTAAAAGCTAAAACTTGGAAGCCCAGTGTCCATCAGTTGGAGACTGGATAAAGAAGATGTGGTATTTCTATGAAATGGAATACTACTCAGCCATAAAGAATGAGAAATTAGAGTCATTCATAGGAGAATTGATACATATTGAGGATATACTCCTAAGTGAAATAAAAAAGTCACACATGTATAAATACCAAATAGTTTCTCTGGTGTGAAAAACTATAATAGTACATAAGATCCTGATGATATAATTGACAATGTGAAATAGGAAGAAAGGGATAAAGGTGTGGGGGAAATGGGAAGGGTAGTGGAAAGGGAATAAGGGAAAAGGAAAAAAAATGAGAAAATGTAAAAGTGGAAATAAAGAATTTGTAAATAGGGAAGGAGGAGGGGGTGAAGGGAGGGCAAGGATAAGGGGAAAAAATGAGATCTAAGACCTGTCATGTAATAGTATAAGATCCCAATGATGAATGTAACTATACTGCATACTTAAAATGTACCAATAAACTCAATGAGAAAAAAAAAAGTAAATTATATGCTTGAATTAGGATTGGGTACTGATATGGATTTTCAGTAGATTAATCTCAGGGTGCTGTCATTCTGGGAAGGCAGCTGGGTGAGAAGCCAGCTGATTAGTCCCAAGAGAAGAAAGGACTACAGAAATTTGGTAATACGTTGAAATATCAATGGTAGGAAAAGATTTTATATGTCTACTAAGTTCCTGCTACTTTGCAGGTTTTCAATTATGGAGGGGGAGGATATGTTGATTTGATTGGGCAGAACTTGAAGTTGAGGTGCTCGTAGGATATCAAAGAGAAGACAGACCAGAGGTAAGGGGACATTCCGTTGAAAACCCAGAGAGGTAGGACTGGAAATATAAAGATGGGAGCATCTGCCTCAGTGTAGTTACAGTCAAGAGTGATGGAGAGAAACCTAGGGATGAAGGGAGGACTGAGACAAGTGAGAAGGTTGATTCACTTCCAGCATGGGAAGAAGCAAGTCTCCCAGTGAAGGAGAAAGAAAGGCTGGATGACATCGAGAAACATATGTTGCAGAGTAGACTCCTGGCTCACGTAGCAGGAAACAAGCTCAGAGGGTGAATTTGCTTAAGGTCTGGTGAAATTATGGCAGTGACAGATCTGGAAATGGATCAGATGCTCCTGATTCTAGAGCCTGTGCTGTGTTCTAGGCAGAAATCACCCAACTTCCTAAAAAGGGCTTAAAAATAAGTATTTTAGTCTTTATGGGCCAGTGGTCCCTGTCACACCTGCTTAATCACACTGTTATGGAGCAAACACAGCCCCAGACCAGTGGATGGGTGTGACTGAGGCCAATACAACTAAATTTATTGACATTGAACTTTGAATTTCATACAATTTTCATAAAGTATTCACACAATATTCATATAGTGCTGCAGGATGAAGAACTACTCTCATGTAGTAAATACTTGGACTGATCCTTCATAGAAATTAATTCACTTTGGGCCAGGTATTTAGCTCAGTAGTTCCGCTGTCTGCCTCGCAAGTGCAAGGTCCTGAGTTCGATCCCTGGTACAAAAGAAAATACTTCACTTAATATCATGCTTTACATGGACTACTACCATCTTTCTTCTGTAGATGAAGAAATTGAGACCCAAGGGGGTTATGTATCCTGGGAGGACTTGAACCCAGGTATGATAGGCTCCCAAATCTCTGCTGCCCCCAATATATTAGACTAAGATGTCCTCCTCTACTGGTAACTTTAACTTTAGATTAACTTCTTATTTTTCACCTCTTTTCCCACTTTAAATCTTCAGGAATGTGTAACTGGGAGGAATAAACTGCTTTCTCCTGGGTCATACTGAACCAAGCAAGCAAAGTAGCTCTATTACTTTCTCAAGTGGGAATAGTTTCCCTTGAGCAGAGCCTGGCAGAGCTCTGGATACCAAGATGTGTCATTATTCTTGTAAATAAGGCTGTCCCTAGGTGAATCAGAATGGAGTCTGTGATAGTACACAGCAGGGTGCTTTGGTCACCTAGGAAAGAATTAATTCTTACCACACGGGAACATTTAGATTTGAGAGGAACAGATTCCAACACTTACACTTAATGAGATCTTAGATGACATGTTGTATACAAATTTCAAAGTGGAATTCTTACATACATAATTTATCTGTGTAATTAAAAAGTCTAATTTAAAAAAATAATACAGATGCAAAGCATAATGGTGTGATTTCTTGTCACAAAAACAAATTATTATCTTGATAATGCAATACTATAATTTACCCTGTTGCAAAATACAGTACTTTCTTGAATTGCATGATAAATGTTGTCCAATTATTTTCTTCACATCTCCCTCTACTTGTTTTGCCTGTGAGATGATAAGAATTCAGTTGGTTCAGTGGTGAGATGAACCCTCCCTGTCAGCATTTGGAGACTGAGACAAAATTCAGGAAGGCCCATTGCTTTTGGTCCCATTGGATAAGCAAAGCAAATGCTACCCCATGCCTTAATATGAATGGGCATAGTGCAGAAGGTCTCCAGGGGGATGGTGTTTTGTGTGTGTGGATTTCATTGCAGATTCCTCAAATATTCTGCAGATGAAACTGAGGGGCCTACTGTTATGGGGGTACTTTATCCATAAATGACCATTATATTTCTGAGCAGCCCCTTCAATTCCCCTTGCTTCCCTCCTGGTTACAGCACCATAATTCTCAGCTAGGAAGGGAGTGTAAATAGCTCTCCCACCGCTGATGCCACTTAGCCAGCTGCAAATTGATGTGGATGGCTCTTTAGCTTTGGAGACTGTGTGCCTTTCACCTTCACAGTGCTGGCGTTCATTGGCCTGCGGCTTGGAGCCTGAGATAAATCCTTAACTAGAGCTGTGTGCTATGCATTGCAACACACCCAGACTCAGCTAGCTGATGGAAATTTCAAACATTTCGGAAATTTACACCTTGTCACTCTCTGAGGGCAATGATTTCAAGAAATTATGCCATCTCCACCCACCTTTGCATACTAAGGCTAAAACCCGAGCCATTTCTAACTCCAGATAAAGTGCTGAAGGTCAGAGAAGTCAGGATGAGTCAATGCTTTGTGTGGGGGTTTCCCATTATTATGCTAATCATATGCATGGTCTTTCTGCACTTACACATCCATTTTCATGACCAAAAAAAGAAGAAAGAAAAACAAACCTACATTGGTGTTTTAAACAATGCTAAGGCTTGTAATAAAATGGTGACAAATGACTGAAAATCTCAAAACTCACGTTTTTGCCCTTGGCTTATGACATTTGGGAGAAAAGAGTAAAAGATAAGACCTAAAATGTGATTTTTAAAAGTCAAGCTCTTGTTCATTCTGTTTTGTTTTTGTTTCTGACTTTGAGGTTCACTCTGTAACATCCCTAACAACCTGCCTTCCACTACAAGCTATCTCATGGTTTGGGTGGATGTTTGGAAATAAATTTTAGGATATATATTGACATATTTTCTATGAACCTCTTTTTTGCCTCTAACAGTGACACTATTTGTAAAGACTTATCTGATTTTGTGATCCTCCAAACCACTCATGGTTTTCCACTCAATTTTCTGAAAAGAGTTACTAGTAAATTAGCTTGCTTTTCTGGATAAAAAACACTCAACTAAGGAGGGGCTGGGGATTTAGCCCAGCAGTGCAACACCTGCCTTGCAAGCACAACATTTGAGTTCGATCTCCAGTACAAAAAAAACAACAAAAAAGCAAAAACCCTCAACTAATTTAACTCTTTCTCGTTCTTTGACTCATGTAACATGTTAATCATTTCAAATTTTCTTTGCTTAAGTATATAAATTAATTTAACCAAAGGATTTAATTCAGTAGGGTGTTATCTAAGCAATACCAGATTTATTGTGGTTTGACCTACAATTTTCTAATTTAGGATGGTTCAAAAGTAAATATTCAGTCCAAAAGGTCCAGGAGCCAGTCCTCTAATGATCCTCAAGGATGACTGATACTGCATCCATTTTTCCCTTGTGATTGTGAGGCTGAGTGGGAGCTGCTGTTCACTATTCAGTACCATGAAAGAGAATCATAACATATCTTGGCTCTGGAAGATAGATCCAAATTCAAAGATCAGTTTCCATTGCATGCTTAAAGCTTTAGTATCATCATAGAGTAAAATACATCTTAAATCCAACCATCATAATTCAGGAATGGTCTTATTAAATCCATTTTGGACATAATATTTTCACTTAATGATGGGAGTATCGGGACATAATCTCATTGTAAATCAAGGGCCATCTGGAAGTCTTATTGACATCAAATAGAAATTATCATATAATGAGTATTGTGATACTGATAAGAAAAATAATACTAAGAGAATGCTCTAAAACTTAGTGATTAGTTCTGCCACACTGGACAGGAAGGGACCAGAAGGCTTCTCAAAAGAGGACCCAATGCCAGGACCAAGACGCTGAATGAGACTGTGTGAGGGGAGAACAGAAAGTCTTTGTTGACAGAAGAAACAACGTAAGCAAAAGCATGATTATTTGGGGGGACAGGGACGTGTTGAGTAGGTCATGGAATAGATGCAAGCCTGTCTTACAGGCAACAAAGATGCATTTCTACTTTATTATATAAATCCAATCTAAAATGCTTAAAAAAAAAAAAAGCAAAGAAAAGAAAAAAAGAAATGAGCCCAGTGGTGGCTGGGGACTCTAGAGAAAGTTTTGAGTAATTTACTCTGAGTTTTACAAACATTTCTGATTTTTTCAGGCACACCTCAAATCTACAGCGTCATCTTCTATATCAACAATATTGTCACATAAGACAGTCTTACATTAGTGAGCCTAATCCCTCCAGTACTAATCTTCTTCCCTGAAACCTGGAGCCATGTTGCACAGTTCTCCTCATGAAGCTGAGGGTTTAAGAGAACTAACTCCAAATTGTTCATTGTCTGGAGCACAGGACTCCTCTATAGGCCTTTTTTCCAGGAGTTTGATGAGGTGCAGTGATGGACAAACCAAATCTCCACGCTCCTCGGGGGAACAAATTCCCACTTCCTAAAATCGTGTTTCAGGCTTACAACATGTTTTTGGAAAGCCACTAGAAAAATATACTCTCTAATGGAAGAGAAGAGAAGGCAAGTGGCCCAAAGAATCCTTTAGCATGGAGCTGTTTGTTGGATGAACTGGCTATCTGTGTGTGGAGCACAGAACCCTGATGCCCTATAGCCCAGTGGTCCTGCAGCTGCTGAAACCCTAAAGCACAACGTGTTCAGCTCCATGAAGCCTTGCCCTCTGTTGCATGGTTTCCTTCCGATTCAACCCACTGGCCTGGGCTTCTTGAGTGTCCTGTGACTTTCCCCACTGCCTCCCTATTTTCTACTCATTTCCTTGCACCCAAGGGCACAATGGGCTAACCTGGACTCACTGCCTAACCCTCCAGCAGCCCCCACTCTGGAGTCACCATTTTTTCTTTCAATACTAATGGACCAAAAGTCTTGGGTACCTGTAGCATCCCCAGCCCATCTCCACGAACACATTTGGTTCCAGTCAACAGCCCTGCCCTCAATGTTTGTTCCGTTCCAATGGTGAAGGCAGGATGAGGGAGAGATGCGAATTAAAGTCCTCTGGCACAACAGGTAAGTGGTACCCACATCCCTCTGGAATAAAAATAAATCACATTTTAATGTAATTTGTTAAAAATTAAAATTAATGCCAGAAATTTTATAATGAACAAAATCTATGCATTTTAAATAAAGACAAGATCTGTATTCCTGCTTTTGCTTTTTGCCTCAGGCTCCAATATGGCTCATCACAGCCCTGTTTCTGATTCTGTCTTTGTTTAAAATGTTGACATTTTGTTCATCTTTGGGTTTTGCATTAATTTTATTTAAAAAAAAAACATTGCATGAAACTACTGCTTATCTTGACTGCTGGAGGTTTCTCAGTACCCTGTTAAATTTTGTACCCAAAAATAGCACCTCTTGTGCTTTACCCTAGTGCCAGCTACCATGCTGGGACAAGGTTTTGTTCTTTGATACTTAAATCTTGGCACCAGGGCTTACTTGGATAAGTGCTTATTAAATGCTGCTCTGTCTGCTTCTAGATCCAGTTGAGAAGCAGTTGCAAAATATGGCCAGGTGAATTTGTGAAATTTACTCTGAACTACAGACTTGTTATCAACACTCAGTTCAATTTCTTCCCCCAATGTAATCTCTGTGATTGGGAAAACTGTTTATTATCTAAAGGAAAACTGACCCCTCAAGGCACCCTCTTCAGGCTGATCCTTAATAACTGACACCTCTTTATCAGATGTACACGCCAGATGTACCAATTTCCTTTCAGGTGTATATTAAGTAGCTGCTCCTGGGCAGGAACATCCCTCCGCATCATTCCTGCTCTCATGGAGCTTGATAAAGCCTGGGATGGGAGAAGATGAATAAAGTGATTATGCATGAAATCATACAACTATGTGTAAGACAAAGAAGTAATCCAGGCTGGTGAGTGATCACAAACATAAATAAAACTGTTTCCCTAGCTTGCTCTCTACTCCAATAGCCAAAGATCATAAAATAAAGATAAGTTTTCTTACCTATTTGCCCATCAAAAATTGTTACTTACTTTGGGTGAGAGGATATTTGCAAGGCCGCTTTTATGATATACAACTACTTTCACCTGGAGTCAAAGCATTTTAGAGATCAATTTTCACAGCACCAGGAGAAGACAAGGAATATATATCTGTTAGTTGCTCTGAATTTCACTCCTGACATTGATTGAAATGGCTCAGGCCTCCTCTACCCCAGCACATTCCCACTTGACATCAGTTACCTGAAAAATGACTGTAGATTATCAAAGCCAAGTGCAGCTTCCAGGAATACCAAAAGCGAGTCAGTTTGGTGTTTGCCACTATGGGATGTGGTTTGGGCCACATATTGTTCACATATGTGTGAAATTGTCATGAAGGAGAAAAGGAAAATCTGCGTTAGTAAATTAGACTAATAACTATTTCATTTTCCATTGATGTGTATCCCACCCTTCACTCAAATCTAAGGACTTTGTTTTCTCTTACGTTTAAAGAACCGTTTATTAAGTACATGCTATGAAGTAGCATTGTGTCACACCTGCACATGACACAAAGATATAATAGACATGATCTCTGCTCTAAAGGAATTCAGAGAAATATGAAGAAAGACAGTAAACAAGAGAGTCGAAATGGTAGAGGTTCAGGGTACATCTATCTTGAGTTCTGTGTAGTCTGGTGGCCTCCAGGATGGGGCTGCCTAGGTAACCTTGGCAGAATACTTATCCTCCTAAATCTCAGTTGCCTCTTCTCTGAAATGAGAGTAATACTTCTTTATTTCATACATTTGCTGTAAGATTTAAGGAAGCTAACATGTGTAAGCACTCAGACTATTGTTTAGCACACACTAAGGCCCAGGAAATATTAGTTGTCATTATTGATATAATACCATAATGAGAAGATGACACATGGACTTCTGCGGGAGTGAAAAGCAGAGTTGGTTTCTCCAAAATGGATGGGGTCCCTGGGTGCTCAAAGGAAGCAGCATGGGTAGTCACAGAAGAATGAAAAGACATGGTGTGTGTGCGTGGACGGGGGGCAAAGCAGGGAGGACCAGCAGCCATTGTAGGAGTCATAGGAGTGCAGATCTGCAAAGGAATGAAAGTGAACTTCAGAATACAGAACTGAGAGGGCTGGTAGAGCAGTAGAATTTACCTGTGTCCCGAGGTCAGAGATATGCATGGCTGTGGTGTTGAATGACTGTGGACATCATCTGGAAAGGAGATAAGGTGTTAAAATGGAGGGGGGATCTCTGTGCCACTTACAGCACTTGAAACATTAAGCGCCTTACACTTAATCTATATTGCATTAGTTGATTTGGCATATCATTAATTATTGCTCCTGTGTTGTTTATAAGGGCCACCATATTAATACAGAAGGAACGTTGGCTTCACTGTTTTAGTGCAACTGTTGATTTGGGACAACATGTTCTCTCATGGTTCCCCTACTTAAATCCTAATATATTTCTGTGCTACAACTCTACATCTTTGTTATTGAAATGATTATCTTGGGATACATCCAGTTCAGTTTTTCCAAAAATGTTTTAGCAAATTATTTAGAATAAAAATAAAAATTAAGGAATCTCCTGTCAACGGAAACGTATATCAAAGGAAGTAGAGGGCTGTTTGGTGGGTAATACCAGAGCAGAGGACTTATGGGCTGGTAACCAGGTTCATTTCCTTTCCAAATCAAAAATATTTTTGGCATTTTCCTAAGGCATTTATCAAACACATTCAGGGCACCCTTTTTACAAATTGCTACCTTAGTCTCAAATTTGATAGTTTTAATCAGCTTTCTCTTTCTGTCCACAATGTCTAAGTAATACCAAATTTGAGAATAACATTTTAATTATGCTATCATTATTAAGGCAGCAGGTGGCTCTTAATGAGATCTTCAAACAGAACTATTTCCTCTATGTCCAATCAAAATGAACATTTTGTTGCCTTGACAGAACACACTAAACTGTTTTACTTATTTCTAAGGAGATGAATCAATGAAGATTGTTATTGTTCTAAAAATTAAGCTTTCTGATTGAATTTGGTTTTGTGTTTTTGTGATGGGGAAATATTTTTTGGAAATAAACAATAACTACACTTGCTCCAAATAATAAGAATTTCATGAAAATAAGCATAAATCTAGTGTGAACAATTAATTCTGAACTACAACGAAGATCTTTCAGTTCTCCAAGTTTTATCGAGAGAAAATTGAAAATCTGTGGAAATGCAAACATTTCTTTAACACGAAGGAAAATTCTAGAAATAAGGATTTTTAGCAGTTTGCACAAAGAACTGCTATTGCCTTCTGAAACCCAAATAGGTCTGTTGGATTATTATTATATTTTTTTGCATATAGCTAAGAAATTTCAGCAAAATTTCTCAGAAATTACCTTCTCAGTAGTTTTGAAAAGCTTCTTGGTTTTAGACATAAGGAGAACCCAGATCTTCCACCAGGGGAATAAATGCTGAGATATTAAATTGTTTTCCTGAAGTTCACTATCAAAGCTTGTATGTGTGGGTATGAAGTAAACAGGTACCATTTAGCACAAATACAGAAACTCTTCTTATGTTGCCAAAATGCTCAGAAATTCTGTTTGGTTGGTAATAGGTATTTTTATTCTTCCTTTAATTTTTACAAACAAGTGCTTCTTTATTTCCAGATGGATAAAATATTTACAGGATGAGGTGCTCTAGACTTTTATGTTTCCAAGATAGAATCATAAGTGGGATTTAAACTCTTTAACACAAAAGCTACTCATTTCTCTTGTATCTCCAGCCTAGTCTCTCTTGGGTTACTACAACAAAATAGCACATCTGAAGTAATTAATAAAAGAATTTATTTGACTCATGTTTCCGGAAGCTGAGAAGTCCAAGACTGAGGGAGCGCATCTGCTGAGGGCCTCAGGCTGCATCATAATGGTGGAAGATACCATAGAGAGAGCAGATAAGAGAGTTTCAGAAGGCAGGACTTACTTTTCCAGCAACTCATTTTCTAGATAATTAGCTTACCTCTGAGACAATGTTAATCCATTCATGAGGCCTTCGTGACCAAATCACTTCTTTTAGGCCCCACCTCCAAAATTGCTGCATTGAGAATTAAGTTTCCAGCACATGTACTTTGGGGAAACAATGAAATCATAACACCATCATAGCATCTAGTGTAGGTGAGTAATTGTTGTCTTAAATGCTCTATAAAGAAAAAGTAAAAAAAAACAAAAGCTGCATGTTGACAACACTAGCAAATTATAATTTGGGCTCTAGGACTTCAAGGAATCAGAAACACCTCACTGAGTATAAACATTAGGACATTGAAATCTCCAATTCAAACCGGGTAGCACCTAAAAATGACTGAAAGAGCCCAAAGAATTGAGATCATTGTATGCATGCATTTCTTGAGTCTAAAGAGCCTGCTAAAGTTCTTTTTTTCTGATCTTACCAGGGAATCTATTTGAATCAATACCCATCTCATAAAAATCAACAAGGAAAGCCCTGACAAACATCAGTATCGGGCAGAAGTTAACATTTGAGAGCTAAGAGTAGTGGGAAGGAGGCAAGATTTAAGCAAGTGGGCAATTGAACTTGATTCTAGGGGTAGAGGAAGCATACAAAAATGTTTAAATTAGGAGAATGACATTATGAAATTTGTATTTGGGAATTAATTAGTGGAACAAAACTGGAAGTGAGATGATGCGCTGAGAATGAAAGACTTATGATGTACAAAACTAGGTAACATTGCTAGTAGCTTGGCCAGTAGTGGGGATAGAACTGCATGAAGTACCACCTGAGCAGCTGCAAGGATGGCGCTTTCCAATACCTTTCCTTGGTCACAGACTGGAAATTTACAACAGAAGCAGAATTTCACCACAATGAACAAGAGACAAAAAAAAAAAAAAGTAACTTCTTAAAGCATAGGAGGATATAACCTATTTATGTGGCATTCTGTGTTCCTTGTGAAAATAGGAAGTGTGGGAGAGTGGCCAGTAAACATTGCATAGTAACTGTATATGAATTCCTCTCCTGTTGGGCATTATCAATGTTCTCATCATATTTATCTCCCTCTTCTTGTGTTAAAATTTTACTTGCATTTTGTCTTCCTGAAAGAAGATGTTGTACATAGTAGAAATTCTGTTAAGACAAGGGGGTATATAAGAAACTCACATGTTAAGTAACAAGTTTGCTATCTGAATTTTTACACAGTCAGAGCTTCACATCACATCCCATCCACGGGGCGGTCATGTGGGAAGGCTGGCCAGCTTCCTGGAGAACGCTGGCGCCATGTCCTCTCACAAGGCTCTCATGTCCACATGTGACAATCGGAATGAGAAAATGGTGAAGAAATATAAACATTTGAAAAAGACATTCTTCTTTGTAGTAACTTTACTAACAGCACTTTCAATACATTACTGTCAACATGTTAAAAAGAAAGAAATTTTGTTTCTATTGGAATGTGGTGGAGAAACATAATTCTTAACATGTTGAGTGATATTAGTATTTTAAACAAAAGTATAAACTTTAAAAAACATACTATTTTTATAAATCTGCTTCATTTTTAGGATTTTTAGGAGCCAGTATTGTTATAAGTTGCCCATTTCCTCTAATTTCATAAAGAAAATAAATTAGAAAATAGAATTTGGTATAAATTTGTTCTACAGAAAGTATTGGAATGTCTCTGCACCAATGGTAAGAAATATTTGAATCCTGCTATAATTATTACTGCCATTGCATGCTTTCTCTTGGA